GTAAGCTGCGGGAATCGAGTGAACTGAAGGAGTTGTTGAAATAGAAGGAAGCTGAAAAAGGTGGAATTGGAAGAATTGAGTATATTGAGGAATATTAAGCATTTCAAGTAACTATGAGGGTGTTTATTCCCCATCTTCCACGCTCCCGGCACCTCCTTGTGACTAAACTAATACCCATATCCCTGTGCACAAAATCGATTTAATGATTTCCAATATATTAATCCCATCTGGCACGTCTTGTGACGCCTCATGGTTGATGACAGAGCGGCGGTCTGGATCTTCGATATGGCATAATAAATATCGCTGTAGGAAAGTCGCATTAAATAGGGGTTGGGGTGTGTGCAAAAGGGGATGGCTGCAGCCTTCAGGGCTGCCGACGCGACGATGGAGCGTCCCGCTGTCAACCGCAGGACCGGCTGAGTTATGCACCCACTACACCCACCTAGCTCCTGAATGGATGGAAGTTATAGTCCAAGCAAACAGTGAAAAAACAGACAGTGGTGTGAAGATCATTCAGGCAGAATCGACTGATTTGGTAGTTGGGCTCCAGCTATTATGGAGGCTCCAATTGCTTATATTGTTACGATTGTTACTTTGGAGGTAGTTTTGCTTCTGATCGAGCTCTCTCGCTTGACGCTGCAAAGCGCCTATATATATATACAGGGTGTCCGCAAAATTGGGGTTTTCCTTTTCAGAAACAACTACCCTTGAAATAACAAAGGTAATGTGTAGTGAAACGAGGGCGACCAAGTAAAAAAAATAAAGGAAAAAGTACTCATCTCCAGTTGACGAGAAGGGCTAAGTACGTCTCTGCCCGAAATCATACCGCTCCAACAGAAAATGAAATCAGCTGATGCGCTACCGAGCAGACGCAGGCAAAATGTTGCGTAAAAAGTCTAGGTATTGCATCCCGTCCAATCGATTTGGGAGAATAAATGGTCCAATGGGCATACCGTTCACCATGCAAGCCTAAACATTCACCGAAAATGTTTGTTGAAAATGTGCCCGACGGACAGCGTGCGGATTTTCTACTGACCAAACATGAGTGTTGCGAAAGTAATTCACCCCATTACGCGTGAACGTAGATTCGTCTGTCACTAATATGCACTTCAAAAGGTCCGGATTATTGTCATGTTGATGCAACAACCACTCACAAAACCGCACTCTTGCTGGAAAATCGTCAGGTTGAAGGGCTTGTACACGTTGGACGTGAAACGGATACAGCCCCTCTTCACCCAGCGTTTGCCACACTTTAGTTTTTGATACTTGCACTTCTCTAGCAACGTCTCTAGTGCTTGTTGAGGGATTCTCGTCTACGCGATTGCTTCTACACGCGTGACCATAACCGTCGGTGGAAGGTTGCATACTGACCTGACACACTGACCCCGACCCAGTTCTGTCGTCGGGTTGAGCCAGTGACCTTGTACCACTTGGTGTGTGGTGTAGTGGTGATGTCGCGAGTCGCGGCTACAGGACGGTATTCAGATATTTTTGATGTTGCAGTACTAAGAAAAATTGCTTATGTTTTCAAGATCTACACGTCGTGTAAAGGAAAACCCCAACTTTGCGGACACCCTGTATATAGTTGGGTACAAAATACAATAAATTGTTAATTGGGAAATTGGCAAATCTCTTAGGCTTAATTTGACTCTTTTGACGATAAAATCAAGCTTTCGGCAATCTCTATGGAGCCTTCATCAGGATTCTGAAAACACAATTGTGATGCTAGCAAAGAAAACGGGACAGATTTAAATTGTCAGACAACTTACTCGTCGGTGAGGTTGCAGCCACAAGGTGTTTCAGAACGAACGTAGAGAAGATCGAACTTATAATCAGTATAAAAAAAAGGACGGGGACATTGGGCTTGTTGAAAAACGACAGATACCTTCGTTAAATGTTAAAAATATCAAGCCACCCGAACAAGTTAAAAATATTACACGTGACACGACATTTTGTTGGCTGCAACGTCACCGACGAGTAAGTTGTCTGACAATTTAAATCTGTCCTGTTTTTTTAGCTAGCATCACAATTGTGTTTTCAGAATCCTGATGAAGGTTCCATAGAGAATGCCGAAAGCTTGATTTTATCGTCAAGAGAGTCAACTTAAGCCTAAGAGATTTGCCAATTTCCCAATTAACAATTAATTGTATTTTGTACCCAACTGGTCATTGGCTTTGGCAATGACTACTGCTCATATATATATATATATATATATATATATAGGTATATATAAATGTAGGGCTATTGGTTGTTTGTCTAAGGGTTTGAAATCACGAGTCCGTGGATACAGATAAATGGCCGTCTATTAATTAAATACACGAAATGAAATTAGTGTATACTACGCGTCTTTTTATGTCCTTCTTGCTCGGCGGCTGAACACAGACTTCCTTGTCGTCAGGCGACAAAACGTAAGGCGCTTGCGCGGTTGGCTTCTGGATTGTTCTAGAAGGCTTGCTCCTTCAGTGGCGTAGGCAGCACATAGCCGTCGTCAATCGAGGATCAATGGTTACGCATTGACGCAAAATAAAAAAAAAATATAAAATAACCTTATCCTACATATATATATATATATATATATATATATATATATATTTGGCACCGTAGAGCCCAGCTAGTCTTCACACAGGGTAACAAGGCATGATCCCCGAGGGTGAGTGATTCCAACACAATTTTATAATCGATACTATCCCCTCTTCCGCTGAGAAGAATACATCATTTCTTATTATGCATATTCATCGGCGGATCTGGTTGAGCATAACTATTCGTAAGCTTGCAAGCTGGTGCATGTATATCCTTACAGGTTGTCACTTGTGAGAATATCTAGCTTGTGAAGTATAGTGTCCCCCTTTCTTGAATCCGTAACTGCCCCCACGGTACCTGCACTGTTCCTGACCTAGGCGTTTGACGTTGAAGGCATAGGTTCGGTAATTAATTTTCTAGATGTAGCGTAAAAACTAGGTTTTTGTTGAATCTGCAGCTCACTTATTTTGGTAAAATTTGTCTATGATCCTACTTTTAAGAACTACTTACGAAGAAAAACGCGTCATTGTGCTCCAATGCCCTCACCCCAAGTCAAAAAAGGAAGGCGTCAAGTAGGATGACTCCCACACAACGATGTTATTAGCTCATAAAGGATTATGTCCAGCACAACTAGATCCTAAAGATTTATCTAGCATAATTACATTATTTTAAAAAAGGGAGTTAAAACTAGCGTCTCTAAGAATTTTCACTGTTCATGAGATTATAATTTTCTTTCAAGCATCTTTAAATTGAGGGTCTATTATTAGTCTATAAAAATTCCTTCCTTATCCTAACGGTAGTCCATCTGGCAACGTCGCCTCTCCAGGACAGATAACCCGGTCAGACGTGCATAGAAAACTGTGGCTGTGATACGGGTAATACCAGAACTGACAGATTTTAATATTTTTGGATGGCTAAATCTATGATTTGTGATATATGTCTAATAGGTGCGTAGAATTAGAGCGTATAAACGTACTCACATCTAAAAATTGATATATACCCTCCATACTCCCTTATTAAAACTTTGAGCGATTTTTATTTTCCTTTTTTTTTTCGTTTTCGACTTTGTTCCTCCGCCGACGCCGGATCGATCAAAAACTACTAAGCTCTTTTCATCCTTGGCATAGTAGTAACATTGTATAAGAATATCTTCAAAATCCGAGCAGTACTTCTCAAGTTATAGGCCGTTGTAGGATTAACAAACAGACAGATCGCCAGGTAAATCGACAGACAGGCGGATGAAAATGAGTTACATGGTATTCCAAGATATAACAACCAAAAAACATAATATCTAATTCTAGAAAATGTTCGTCAGTAGGCGACGAAAGTAACTAGCGGATTTAAATTCGACAATCTAGACAACCATGACAAATACTGGTGTCGTGAAGCATTTATCTTAGGTAATTTCAGTAATGTTCTTGGCAATACGACTGTATCTGCTACATTTTTACGAATGTTGACAAAACCGACTAAAGGGTAATTATGAAATTTTTGAAAAAATTTACACCTTGCAACCAGAAAATTAATCTTTGCCGGACCTACCTTTGTTTGAACTTTTCTCTCCTTTCCTGGTTTTCAGTAATTCAAGAGATGTACCAACATGATGAGTTCAGTACTATTTACAAATCTTTTTTTAAGTGCATTCACTAGAGAGTTTTGGCATTAACAGCTATCCCATACGGAAGCGTTAACAGTACCAATAATCCGTTGATTTTTTGACTTAAATGTCAACATTAACGTTGCGCTATTTGCGATTACTAAAGCATTGTTCTGTCTATCCAATTTTCTCTTAAGCAAAGAAAACTTACTTTTTATTTGGGATAGTGCAATTATTAGTAATGATTTCTAGCGGTTAGTAATAATCAGTACCTTGGTGGTGGAGTGTGCTATAATTGGCCGAGGATTACATAGCGCCGAGGGATGAGATGTGTATTGTTTTTTCACTACTGGCTATGATATATTACCACATCTAATTTGATTAATTGTGAAATATAGCATATCTAAGAGTTTCCTGAATGTCCGGCAGCACTGTCCGAATAAAGCACACGAAATGGCTCGACCACAGAATCGTGCGTAGGAGAGAAACGCTGATGCTACATGACAGAGTATGACAGATATAGTAGATGATACGTACGTTGACACATTATTGGTGTCCCGCTCATTTTAAAATACTGCAATTTATAAAATAGCATCGAACCCTCAAGCTGTCGGAATGAGATAGATAAATATAATCAAGAAAAAACGTTTCAGTTATAAAATGGATTCTGTATTGATTTGTAATAAACAACAATTCTTGGAAATATTCAAAAATGAGTGAACGATTTAAAAGCAGGCAAAATTCGGGAAAATTCTGCACCCGGCAAGCCAAAGAAGCTATACTTGGCTACACAAATGCATCATTCAACTAGGTAGGGGACTGAATTTGCTCTTACAGGAATGTCGTGAAAAATATAAATTTCTAAGGGCCGCAGTGAAAAAAATATTGTTTTAAGGCAAATATCCTTTATTGATAGATAAGTGGTATAAATTAATGATAATAAATATCGAATACTTCACAAAAACTAAATCGGCACAATTGTAGATGTAAGCTAACTATAAAAAAATATATATTTGCACTTTCTCAGTTTTTCTCAACAAAGAATTAGCACATTGCACTGGGAGATATCATATTCGTATACAGTCCTGAGATTACCTGTTTTAACCTGTAACAATAAATTCAAATCAGTACAGGAAAATTAAAAAAAAAAGATGAGCATGGAAACGAGTGACTGATTTTAACCTTCATTTTTCAACCTACCATAATTACTTTTAAATATTCCATAACAGCTACCATCAAACTTCTTGTCACTATTAACGTTTATCGTAATTTTATTTCTCGGTTTGAACGACGTTTCAAAATCTTCCGTCAAATCACTGGTGGACTTTGTAAACTCCTTCGATAAACTGCTTTTCAACGAAATCCTTACGGTCCCATTGCTCTGAGGTTTTATCTGTTGCGTCGTTGATAACAAGTCATCCTGAAATTAATGAGTACGTCATAGACAACATATTTTATCTAAAGATAGCCAAATATATACTGGCTTCTGGCATCCAAAAAGGGATCTGGGAGATAGTTAACGTAAAAATAATTTTTTTGCAAAGTTGAGTTTGAGTGTTTGGTTCTGTTGCTACCTGAATCTTTTTTTGTACACGTACACAATTGGACATTTAGCACACGTCGTTACGACATCGGTATTTGGAACATTGACGTCAGTTGAGGAGTTATCACCTAAATTCGAAGTCATTATGACGTGCATGTGCTACCTGGAAATTGTGACATTTATGAGGATTTTCGTACCATTGATTCCGTTCTTTTCCTCAAATTAGATCTATTGAGTGTATGCCGTAATTCGTCTGCTAGTCCCGTCCTTGATCCAGCAGGCTTGAAAGTGTCTGGACCTCTTCTCAGAAAGTTCAGTTTACCTGGTTGGGTGTTTGCCTGATATTCTCCTATGATCACACTGACGCTTTTCGACTTCTCTACAGCTGTAAAAAGTAAAAATCATAAAAACTAGATACAGTTCAACCCGCTTATATTGGACTCGGCGGGACTGTGACAAATAGTCTATTATATGCCGATGACCATCTTAAAAGAAATACTTTTTTTAATGAAAAAAACAGCAGAAATAACATATTAAAAGATTAAAATGTGTTTGTTTAACATGTATTACATAAATAAAGATACATACAAAAAGTTATACGTAATTTTGAAAATTGCATTTTTTTAGAATCTGCTACACATACCGTAAATTATTTAGTAAAAAGCTAGTAATTTTCATTTGAACAGATTGCTTTTTTGTACAATTATTTAGAACAGCAAGTTGAATTTTATTTAATTAGGTGTGGCTGTACTGTCTTCTTCTTGCTGAAAATAACGTTGCAACTTTTTTACGCAGTCTAATGCCTCCTTAGTTGTCACTGGAAGCTCTTCTTCATCGTTGTTTTCTAGTTCGTCTTCCTGTTCGTTATCAACGGATCCTTCATTAACCAAATTGGAGTCTGAGAATGCCTGTGTTGCTATTAAATCATACATACATACTTATTAAATTTGTCTATATCGTATATCTAAAATCGTTGACTATTTTTCAGGTATGTTTTTCACTAAGCCAGCATGGCGAAAACAATTACGAATCGTTGCTGGAGTAACCAATTCCCATGCAATAGTAAGCAAATTCATAGCATCTAAAATGATGACAGCTTTGGTAATGTTGACATCTTCTTGAAGCTCCATAATTTTCATCAACATATGTTTTCGACACATTTGTTTAAGACTCCAAATGACACCCTTGTCCATTGGTTGCAGAACTGATGTCACTTTGGGTGGAAAAAGTTTAAGGTTGATGTTATTAGGTGAAATATTTTGATGAGCGGGGCAGTTATCGACCAATAGCAAAATTTTGCGATTTTTCATGACAAGTTCAGCGTCCCACTTGTTTAGATATTCTTCACAAATTGATGAAGTCATCCAAGCTTTATTATTTCCAACATAGTCGACGGGAATTGTTTTAACATTTTTCAAACACCTGGGATTCTTAAACTTCCTTGAAATACAAAAAAGGTCATAAATCCTTTGCAGCACTGCCATTGAATATCAAAAAAATTGGAACATGAATTTCTATTCATTCACTTACCTATTATCAATACTTTCCATTTTTCAGTACCAGAAGCATTAGCACAAATCATAACAGTTATTCGCTCTTTTGATAGTTTCCCTCCATTGCAAGTTTCACCTTTTAATTTATGAGTTTTATCTGGTAGCATTCTATAAAATATCCCGGTTTCATCTGCATTGAATATGTGATCATCTGAATAATCACTGGATATTACGGGCCAAACTTGAGAAATCCGGTAATTGGTAACGTTCTTGTCAACTGAAGCTGACTCACCACACATTTTTCCAAAAACAATGTTATGTCTTTTCTTAAACATGTCTAGCCAACCGGAACTACATTTGTCGTAATCTCCGATCAATTTCCCAAATTCTTCAGCCTGTATTTGTAGCATAGGTCCACTTATTGGAAAATTATTAGCACGCCTTTGTTGAACCATATCATGGACTTGGGGATGCAGCAATAGCCGCATTTTTTCTTTTGACTATTTGATTTCCATTCATTTTTACTTTTGTCACGGTTTCTCCAAGTATTTGATACAGTGGATTTTTTTATAGTCATACGAGCACATATATTTGCTTGAGATGAACCCTGCTCAAGTCACTAATTATTGTGAACTTTACGTGTAAAGTGAATGCACGTTTCGTCATGTTTACAACTCTAATAAATACAGTGTAACACTGGTGGCCAAGTTCGATTGCAAACTGCTAAGCCAAAGCGCCGTAAACGATTGCATCAGCTAAATCTGCTTCCGGGGACTACCAAAATAGCTCGCATATAATGGATTAAAATAGTCCGCTATAAACGAAGGTCTATTTTAAGCGTATAATATCCGAGGATTTTACATGCAATTATTTATAGGACCTTAAATTGTGTCCATTATATACGGGTTTTCATTATAAGCAAGTTCATTATAAGTGGATTCCACAGTAATTTGAAAATGTGAAAAATGCGAAAAATACGGAGATTGCGCAAACTTCAATAAAAGCGAAAAACGAAAAAAAAATGCGAAGAATGGAAAAAACGCCAGCCATGCGTAAAAAATGCAAAAATCTTTTTAATTGCGAAATATGTGAAAAATGCGAAAAACAAAAATGGGGAAAATGACAAAAATATGGGACATTCGAAAGAAGTGGAAAATATTGGAAAATTCAGAAAAGTTAAAAGTGAGATTGTTCGAAAATGCGGATTACGAAGGATGCAAAAAATCGGAAAATGAAAAAGGAATGTGAAAACTGTTGAAAATGAAATAAATCGAAAAATGCGAATAATGCGAAAAATACCAATCATGCGTAAAAAAGGCAAAAATGGAAAAACTGTGCTAATTGTGAGATTGCGAAGTACGTGGAAAATGCGAAAAATACGAAAAACACAAAAAAAGGAGAAATGCAAAAATGTGGAAATTGTGGAAAATGCGGAAAAAGCGGGAAATATTGAAAAGTGCAGGAAATGAAAGACTGAGAATGTTCAAAAAAGCGGAATGCGAAAAACTATAAAGTACAAAAATGTAAAAATGCAGAAATGTGACTTCAACATAATACGAAAATATGAAAATGCGAAACTGTGGAATATGTGGATTTTTGATTGCCAAGTGTTGATAACTGCTGCTCCAAGGTGTCTAAATAAACTTACGTTTATGTCCCTTAATAGCCCCATACTGTCCTTCTTCACCTCCCACCGTCTCCGTCTTCTGGAAATAAGTGCTGGGAGGCTTGGGCTGTACGCCAGTTGGACCATTCATCCTGAATGAGTCCAAGGACTCCATCTCTACCGCGTCCTGATCCTTTTTGAGCATCGTGGAGGTGGACGAAGCTATGCTGAGGGTGTCGTAGTCAGGGGTGGGGCAAGGAGGTGGTTGACGAAATGAGAGGGTTGAATGTTTAACTGGGGGAACGGGAGGAGCTTTAGGTTTAGTTTTGGTCGGTTTCAGGGTTGATGTGTTAGTGGTGGAGGGCTCTTGGTCGCAGGCTTTAGAAGGTGGCTGAAATTGAGCATGAAATATAATTTATTCGAAACCTAGAACGTTATTATAACTGAATCAATAGGATCTCGTCTTGGATGAATCCAGGGACTTCATCTTAGCAACATTTTAAACCTTTTAGGCATCGTGGAAATAGATAAAGTTATTCTCAGGGTATCGTAGTCAACATATCTTGAATTGCTTCTACCTGAAATACCAGTTTTAATGGACTGCATACAACTCTTGCCAAAATAGGACATTCAATATTACTAATAGCTTTCAACAATTTATAAACACTTACGGGTGGAGGAGGGGGAGGTGGAGAATCGGTCGCTCCAGGTTTCTTGCTGCTTTCGGATCTCGTCTCTTCAGCACTCACGAGATCGAACAGCTTGTTGGATAGTTTCTTGGAAAGGTCCTTGTGCGCTAAGCGATACTGAAAAAGTTGAGGCTTTTACAATAGTCTAGAGTTCAACAAGTGTCAACATATACATACAAGGTGGCGCATCGAAAACGAAGCAGACGCATTTACTGGCAGCTCAGTTTTTTTTTTGAAAAACGCTCAGACCCATCGATTTTGTTTTCGAGGGGGACACAAGTTTGGCAAAAAATCACGTTAGCATGTGCAGTCCCCTGGGCGGGGGTGACACCACCCCCAAAATCTTAAATGGAAACGGGGGTCGAGTGATACCTTATTTTTAAAGGTCTTTCAATTCCCTTTATAATGATATAAAATTAATGTACCTCAGTTCAGTAGTCTTGAAGAATTATTGATTTAAAGCTAAACTAATCCATCATCATTAGTGGAAATCAATACATTTGGCAGCAAAGTAATTTAAAAATGAAGAATGAACGTTAGGCAAGTAAATGTTGAAAATGGCCACCATGACTCTCCATTCAATAATAAAGATTTTGGTCAAAACGTTGACGCACATGTTGCAATATTTGGGGAGTAATTTGAAGGCACTCATTCACAATTCTTTGTCGCAGGTCTTCTAATGATGTTGGCTGAGTAGCATAGATTTTGCTTTTTAAATGACCCCACATAAATAAATCCAAAGGTGATAAATCTGGCGATCTTGGGGGCCATTTGATGGCAGCTCTTCTCCCGATCCATCGATCTGGAAACGTCTGATCTAAATATTGTCGAACACGTGATGTGTAATGTGGTGGAGCCCCACCCTGTTGGAACATCAACCTATTCGCAATGTACCGCCAATCATTCTGATTTTCAATTATGGCTGTTAATGCAGGATCTATGGAGTCTTCCAGTAATTCCAAATACATTTCACCGGTCAAATTTCCAGGTAAGAAAAAAGGACCAACTAAATGAACGCCAAAAATACAACCCAAACATTTAATTTTTGTGGCTGCTGTGTATGAACCTCATGATAAATTCTGGGATTAGAATCGGAGCAATATCGGCAGTTATGACGATTTACTACGCCATTTAAGAAAAAGGAGCATTCTTCGGAAAAGCAAGTGTTGAATAGAAAATGTTCATCGTTTATGATTCGTTCACTCATATCTTCACAAAATTGTAATCGCTGATCAAAATCGTCTTCATTAAGTTCTTGTACCAGGTGAATTTTATACGGATGAAAACTAAGGGCCTTTAGAATCCGTTGGACAGTAAGTCGACTAACACCAGACACAGTCTCCAATTTGCGGGTGCTTAACGTAGGATCTACATAAACTTGCCCTAAAACCCCCACTTCTATTGCTTCGTTCCTTATGGGATTTTCAATGTTGCATTTTTTATTGGCGACTGGCCCAGTTTCCCGAAATTTAGCTATACAAGTTCTAAAACATATTTTCGATGCACGTTACTGTTCTCATGCCGCTCATTAAATATTTCTGCTGTTCTATTATCGCACTGATTATTTCATACAAATATTTCGATAATTTCAACTCTTTCTGCTGTGGAATATACCATGGTTAATTTATGTAATAAAGCATTACAAGTTATTTTAGGATCAAAGTTTGGTCAAATCAATCGCAAACTATGTACTGAATTCCTATTTAAAATAAGTACGAGATATTTCCTTATCTTTCTTCAAGAAATAACTTTTTTGCCACAAAAAAACGCTCCAATAGCTATTTCCAACAACAAAATGATAAAAATCCATGGGCGTAGTGAAGAAAAGCATTTACTTATTAGGCAAATTCATTTAGTCAAATTTCTTCTGAAAGTAGTACAAACTAATCTGATGTACCTATTAAGGTCTACTTTAAGCTTTAAATCAATAAATCTTCAAAACTACTGAACTGAAGTACATTACTTTTATATCATTATGAAGGGATTTGAAAGACCTTTAAAATAGGGTATCACTCGAGCCCCCTTTCCATTTAAGATTTTAGGGTTGGTGTCACGCCCGCCCAGGCGGCTGCACGTGTTAACGCGATTTTTTGCCAAACTTGTGTCCCCCTCGAAAACAAAATCGACGGGTCTGAGCGTTTTTCAAAAAAAAATTGAGTAGCCAGTAAATGCGTCTGTTATATATCTTTTTTTCTATACTGTATTCTAAAAACTAAGCCATAGGTAAACTTTCAAAACAATTTTGATGATGAATCACGATTGAAAGATAAAAATCATATCCTACCATTGTTTCTTTTCCAATGACTTCATTCTGTTTGGTATCATCGTTTTCACTGGGTTTAAACATTTTCTGATGCACCTGCTTGAACTCGTTCATCAATTTGTTGTGTTGATGTTGTTGATCGAAAGTAACATTTTTCAACATTTTCTTCACTTGCAGCTGCTCGTCTATAGAATTGTTCGCTTCCTTCGAAGCTTGTTTCTAGAAATAACGATTGAAGTTACCATTTCGAAAATACTCCAAAAATGGCGTAGGTTGACCTTGCGCTTTCCACACAACGCCGTTGTCAGCACAAACTAGATCCTCTGGGAAAAAAGTCAGTCAAACAGGTTCATATATTTAGTCCATTTGGACGTTCCTTCCACGCTCTACCAGTAGTGCATGTGGCAATGTCACGGCCGCGACGGTAGCAGCAGCCGCGGCCGGTAGGTAGGTGATCGGTTTGCTAAGTTTTAGGGGCTTGGAACGTATAAATGTACTAACATCAAAGAAGTACCATTTTCTCTGCTGCCATTGCACCGCTTTCACAAACTACAAAGCTTTTGCGTCCTTAGCATAGTAGTAACATCGTGTAGAAATTTTATCGGAATCCGAGCAGTACTTACTCAAGTTATAGATGGTTATAAGATTAACGGATAGACTGACAGACAAACAGACATACCGACGGAAATGAGGAATGTGGTTTTTCTTAATATACTTTCGTGACTACAATACTTCCCCGCCAGTAAGCGTGGGAAGTAAAAAGGGGATGCTACATATAATGATGTTTTTTAAGCTGGGAATATCTGTGAAACTACTAAAAATTATGATACCGAATGATTTCAATTCCCAGAAGATGTTTTCGCCATACGAACATAAATTGTGTTTACCTGTATCCTGCGCTGTATTTCCATAGAGATAGCAGAAGATAAACTGCTTGTGGCACTTGTAATACTACTCTTACTGGTAACGCTTGCAAAACTACCGACTGAAGCACTTTTCGCTAACATATTGTGACTATTTTCTGTTTCCTCATCTACTTGACTCCTGTGTACTTCTACCACAGTCTGATTCTCCTTTTCCAATTCCTAGAAGAAAATTACAGAAAATCACATAGGTCTATCTAAACGAAATGCAACAGCCAAAACTCATGATACTGCTGTCGTCCGTCCTATCAACAGAGGACTAACCGTGTACAGATGTGTAGGTAGGACAACAAACGAAAGCAGAGCAAAATATCTTCTATGTGAGGTATAAAGTTTAACGGAATGGCGAGTAGATCATCTTCTACAGGGAGTAAACCGCTGACCCAAATTTTGTACATCAGTGCCACAGAGTGGCATTACTTTCACCTTTTTTGTGCAGTGATGCCCTGTGATGCCATAGTAATGCCACTAATTCCGCAGTAAATCCACTAATTCCCTGCGCCCTCGAATTCCTCATTAACGCTATACGTCCATAATAAATACAAAGCTAAAGGTTTTAGTTTGATACCCTCCTCGATATTTAACGTAAATGCATTACTAATAGTGGTGAATGATGTATAATGAAATTAACAAACAAAACGTCAATATATTTTAATCAAATTTCACATGCTAACTATGTTAATTAAAAGTAAGAGCATGTTAGAATCAGCGTTAAAACGTAATTCTATTATACAGGGTGTCCCGAAAAAAGTGTGCAATATTCTACCAGCGGTTTCTGGAGCTTAAAATTGGAAGAAAAGTTTATATAAACATAGGCCGACAAACGTCCCCTAAGGGCGCTACGGTCTTTTAAAGGGGCTCCCCTGAAGATGGTTTTTCCTTAATATTTCCGAAACGTGTTGAGATAAAGACATAAAATTTGGTATTCAAGCCTAGTTTTTTATTCTGAATTTAAAAATATTAACAATTTTAGACAGTTTTGTTTGGAAGCGTACGTATCAGGGACGGACTCAGGTTATTTTAGCCCCAAAATTTTTGTGTGAATCTATTTTTGAAATTCAATTTTAGAATTTGAAAATTTAGGGTTTTCTACATAAAAAAGATACTCTTATTGAGTATCGATAAATTGTGCCATTTTTGAATAAAATCAAACTAAAGAATTTGTCACATGATAGGAAATGTACGGCGAATTTAAATGAATTGTTGAATAATTAGCCATGGCAACGAAAAAACTAATTTAATAATTGGTAAATATTACATAAATACATATTTCTATTGCAAGATACCTAACATTTAGGCATAACATTCTGTATATACAGTTCTTTTCAGAAAGGTATTTCCACTTTACTTATTGTTATTTCTTGGAAAGTCTGGTTAGCAAACTGGAATTCTGTGATACAAATAAATAATTGTAATTTTTTTAATAGAATGGGTGGTCGTGTGATGCTCCATTCTCAAGACCATTATGAATACTAAATTATTCTAGGATATAAAATCACTATCTTTCAAAATGGCGGACTGGCAAGCTGCCTGAGTTGAGCGTTTCTGCACATTGATTCGTTTGTAACTCGACAAGTAATCGCCAAAACTTTATAATATTTTGAATTAATTTTCTTTTAAAAGTACCTACCTGCATAATATGTAATAAAATATACATTTAGTTGACAAATTTTGTCAATTCCTTAAAATAAAATATATCTTTGTTTATTCAATTTACGAAAAATGATCAACTTTAACAGCCTGTCATCTTGCTTATGAGAGATAATTTTTTCACAAGGGGCTTCAAAATGAGGCATCTGCATCGTCGGAAGTTCAGTATTTTATTCTACCGCTGTCCTCTGACAGCATCAAAGAATCACTACCTAAGTTATTGTTTTTACGATTTAAATTCCTCCTAGCAAAGCTGTTGTTTCTTGTCCGCATTCTTAGTGTCTTATTTTCTGTTTGCTTCTTAAAAATATAAAATCCTCAAGTAATGCGAGCAGATTCTTATTTCCCATAACTATTGTGAATAAGCTTGTTTTGTTACAATATGTAGTATCTGGAATATTCTTCTGCGCTTACAATTCTATGTAATTCTTTCCAATCGAACTGCTCAATATTCTCAATATTATCCACAGTAAGGTTCGTAAAGTTTCTAAAGCTTCAAGTATTTTAAATTTCAGTAGTGACTCAGCTTCTTAAACAAAATGGTATGACTCTGTTGCGAGAACAAGTTTGGTCGCAATTTGCTATAGAGGTAGGCCTTTAGCTAAAGGTAGCTAATATAGTTCCACTGCGATCAAATAGGGTTGTTTCTGTATTGATCTTGAATACAAATGTTGACTTTTTTAACTTATGTCTTTTAAAATATTTAAATAATCAAGAGCTGACAGTAATGAAACTGGACCTTTTCTAAATCTTCTTGAAGAAATGAATCGAATAATATGCCAACTGTTTGAGGTAGAACTCACTAGGAGAATAGAAATTATCTAGCGAAATTTCTATTGGAAAAAATGAAAAAATACAATCAATAAAGATAAACCAAACACTGCTCTATTGGTGTAAAAACAAATTTTTAATAGTCAAACAGGTGAAACAAAGGTGATTATCTATAAGTTAGGTGAGGATTAACACTCTTGTGAATGCCCCACAATATTTCGAATCAAGTCGGCCTAGAAATTCGAGTATTCTTTGTAATTTTATCTATAAAATATAAAACTTTGAAAAAATAATTTCAGTAATTGTATCTTCAAAATGGGGTTGGATATTTCTATGGGGACCTTACCACCTCTCGCGTTAATTTTATAGTTTATCTCGGAAAATATTTGACATACGTACACGAAATTTGCGGCCGAGCTAAGGGTAGAAATATACAAAGTTAATTACGAAATCTGGAAAACTTATTTTACCCGGGATTATAAAATTTAGAAGGCAGGTAGCTGGTGAACCAGACACGTCAGCCAAAAACGGCTTTAACGACTGGGCTGGATTGAGAAGGCTAAGGACAGATATATGTAAAAGCAAAAATATCCGCTTCAAGTAATCACGAAATATATTACAATATACAGGGTGTTCCTTAATGATATGCGAATATTTAATGGTGTGAATCTACATGAAAAATGAATGTTAGTTTGCTTTATAAACTATGGTCCAAAAATGTTTCCTTATAAAAACTGTTGAAGTTTTAGGAAAAAATCTAAATTAATTAATATTTTCAGAACCGCTTCAGATATTTCACTGATATTCAGTACGTGGTGAAAGTTAATAAAGCTGCATATGTTTTAATGCAAAAATAATTTTTAGCTTCAAAAGTGGCGTGCGTACGGGTATTGACTTCGACATTTTTTAAGAAAACGATAGTACGCCAACGGTTTTTTGCAAAATAAAAATTGTTTTTGAATCCCCCGTTCAATTTAAAATAAATAATCTCCTTTGAATTGTTTTACTTCGATGCGTCAGTTTTGAGTAAAAAATAAAAACCGTTCTATTGTCCGAGAAAATTAATGTAATAATTAAAGAATGCAAATTTGGCAATAAATATCTAGTTGCTCTGGAATATTTCACTGGCTTTTGACATCTGACAAGTCTCTGTTATTCAAATCTGTTCGCTGTAGCACCTTTTTCATTATTTAGCTTTTACAATCTTGTTAATAATGGTGGATTATTCAAATGCAGAAATGCATTACGTATATGGCCTTGCCGACGCTAATGGTGAGCAAGCCAGACGGATTTATCACCAGAGATATCCCGATCGTGCTTTGCCAGATAGTCGAACCTTTTCTAACATTCATCGTCGTCTTGTTGAAACTGGTTCTGTCCGAAAAGGAATATCTGAAGGTAGACCTCTAAGTGTCAAAACACCTGAAATTGAGGAAGCAGTGCTGCATGAAGTCGAAGAACATCCTGAAACGAGTATGAGGAAGATCGCTAGACACCTAAATATTTGCCATCAACTTGTTTGGAGAATTTCAGTGGATTTTTTGTTATATCCTTAACATATTTTAAAAGTACAGGCATTGCTTCCCATTGATTTTCCAAGACTTGTGACCTTTATTCAGTGGTATCTTCAAAACGTTACACAAAATCCGCAATTGGAATCAATGATTCTGTTCACGGACGAACCTAATTTTTCTGGAAATGCCATTCAGAATTTCCATTGTGGGCAGAAGAAATTCCCTATGCCGTAGCCGAAACCCATTTCCAATACCACTTTTCGTTTAACGTATACGCAGGAATTATTGGCAACCACTTTGTTGGCCCAGCAACTACTTGACGGACAGATTTACCTCAATTTTCTTCAACAACAGTTGCCTTTGCTGCTTGGTGATGCTCCGTTAGTAATAAGAAACAATATGTGGTACATGCATGATGGTGCACCAGCGCATTTCAGTGTAGCGGTTCGTAATGATTTATAAACTGTTTATCCAAATCGTTGGATTGGCCGCGGTGGGCCCCAAGAATGGCCACCAAGTTCTCCAGACCTCAACTGTTTAGACTTCTTTTTGTGGGGCTATCTTAAGACACTAGTGTACACAAGTCCCATTAACACTGTAGAGGAATTAAGAGAAAGAATAGTTGCAGCTCGTGATAGAATAAAAATCACTCCAGGGATATTTCACCGAGTGCGCAATTCCATGAGAAGGAGGGCGGAAACATGCATACTAAGTGAAGGGGGCCATCTTCAACAATTTTTGTAATCATATCGTTGGTTTTAATGCTATAATTATGTTGTCAGTTGTTGTTGTTCATTACCCCTAATGTGTTCAATTTTTCCAATTAAATTAATAATAATTTTGCAAGCTAGACAATAGAACGATTTTTATTTATTTACTCGAAAATGGCGCACCGAAAGAAAACAATTGAAAAAAGATCATTTGTTTTAAATTGAACGGGGAATTCAAAAATAATTTTTATTTGGCAAAAAACCGTTGGCGTACATTTTTTTTCTTAAAAAATATCGAAGTCAGTATCCGTACGCACGCCACTGTTAAAGCTAAAAATTATTTTTGCATTGAAAAATATGCAACTTTATTAACTTTCACTACGTACTAAATATCAGTGAAATATCTGAAGCGGTTCTGAAAATAATAATTAATTTCCATTTTTTTTCCTAAAACTTCAACACCCCGAGTTTTTGTAAGGAAACATTTTTGGATCATAGTTTCTAAAGCAAACTAACATTAATTTTTCATGTAGATTCACACCCTTAAATATTCGCATATGATTAAGGAGCACCCTGTATAATAATAATCTATGAACATGCAATTTTCCAGAATAGTAGTTTATGTATACGATACATCAGCTAAGGATTTTGCGACAAAGGCTAAAATTATAAACCTCAACATCCGTGTTCATAAAAAATATGGAATCAAAGTTGCCAAAACAAAGGGCACACGAACGAATTATATAGACTTTCTAACATACAATATTTGAAACTATTTCCACCGTAAGCCTTTAAAGTTTATTCGGCTTCCATGGGTTCGAGGAATTCGTGCTTTCACGTTCAGCGACTGCTGTTATGGTGCAGTCTAATATGTTTATTTGAAAATTTTCTTTCATTCAAAAATGTTGAGCTTACGGAGTCGCTGTTAAGTTTGTGTGAACATTTATGTAACCTACTGGAATCTTTCTGCTAGGGTTTTATATGTAAAACGAAAGGCACACGAAATGATTATACTGGGTGGCGCATCGAAAACGAAACAGACGCATTTACTGGCAGCTCAGTTTTTTTATATACGCTCAGACCCGTCGATTTTTTTTTTGGGGGGGGGACACAGGTTTGGCAAAAAATCACCTTAACACGTGCAGCCCCCTGGGCGAGGGTGACACCAACCCTAAAATCTTAAATGGAAAGGGAGGTCGAGTGATGCCTTATTTTAAAGGTCTTTTAATTCCCTTTATAATGATGTAAAATACATAAGCTTCAGTTCAGTAGTTTCGAAAATTTATTGATTTAAAGCTTAAAGTAGACTTTAATACTTATATCAGATTAGTGTGTACTACTTTCAGAAGAAATTTGACTAAAAGAATTTACTTACGAGTAATAAGTAATGATGATGTATTAGTTTCATTTAAGCTTTAAATCAATAAATCTTCAAAACTACTGAACTGAAGTACATTAATTTTATATCATTATAAAGGGAACTGAAAGACCTTTAAAATAAAGTATCACTCGACCCCCCTTTCCATTTAAGATTTTGGGGGTGGTATCACACCCGGTTAGGTGGCTGCACGTGCTAACGGCATTTTATGCCAAACTTGTGTACCCCTCGAAAACAAAATCGACGGGTCTGAGAGTTTTTCTAAAAAAAACTGAGCTGAAAGAAAATGCGCCTGTTTCGTTTTCGATGCGCCACCCTGTATATACTTTTCAACATATAGTATTGGATGCATAGCTCACCATGAGCATTTAAGATTTATTTCGCTTTCATGGGTTCCGATGAATTCTTACTTTTACGTCTAACTACTCTCCGCTAGGTCTATAAAATGTTATGGTGCAATTTCAGATGAAGGGGCAAGAAATACCACGTAATTCCAAATTAATGCCAAGTAATTTTGCACTAATGCCAATTAATGCCATAAATTCCAGTGCAATTCCAAGTAATCTCAAAGATTTTTACACCAGAATGCCTCGACGGCTTACCCCCCGATCATCTACTATATAGCCAGAATCGAGGACATCAAGCGGTCACAGTGATAGCTCGGCTGTTGACGACAGTTGAGATGCTTTGCAGGTCCAACAGATGCTGCTGTTCGTTCTCGCAGTGGTTTGCTACCCCACCTAAAATTATCTTAGACTGTACTGATGATTGCCAATAAGCATGAAATAGCTTCTCGTCAGTTTAAACAGGAAAATATTTCCAACGGTTTACATGACATCCATTATTTCAATGGTTGCATTAGTACTTACCTTTTTAGCAGTATTCGCTTCAGATGGCCGGCATTCCTCGGCTAAACTTTTTATCGTAGAACCTGAGTCTGATAGATTTATAATCGTTTTCTTGTAGTATTGACTTTCAGTTTCTTCGTTCCACTCATCCAGTTCCCATTTAATACTATTCGATGAAACTACAATGAAAGGTTATACTGTTATTTCTAAATTGCCTGTTTCCATGTTTTTCAACATTTCCAGCTTTCTAAATTCGCAGTATTTTCAAAATTCAAATTCCAACATTATCCAATTTTGAATGTATTCAGAAATTTCAGGATGTTCAAGTTTCAACATTGTTAAAAATCTTTACAATTTCTTAAACTATCCAAAAAGTGATGGCAAACGTCTCTCGGTCAGATTGATTGAAACTTTAATTTGTTGTTTTTCACACCAATCTGATCGAAAGTCAATAGGCATATGATCCTAATATCAACGGATCTCGAGCTACAAGTTGTTCAAGATCAAATAAATTCATAAAATATATGAGTTGACTGACACATGATTAGGCGTAGCGAACCTTGCAATGGGGGGTAATTTCACTAAAAATGCCGACTCGTAAAAAAATTTGCCGATTTTATACCTTATTTTAATACATCGTATTACAATTAATTGCAATCAAAACTGTAGTTTATACTTTATACATACAATGGACATAATAATTAAGAATTTTTAGAAAATTAAAGGAATATACATCGTCATTAGAGACAGATAGAAAAGCAGAACGATACGCACAAAAAAATGCATACATTTCGGGAAGTTGAAACTTTCATCAATGCCGACTAACACTCAACAGACATTAGCCGAATTTTTTTATAACCAGCACAGCGCGAAGTTCAAATAATTCTTTTAAGACTTTTCGAAAAGACTACTTTTTAGACGGCATTTTGAGAAGTTGAAACTTTCATAAATGCCGACTAGCGACTCAACAGACATTAGCCGAAATTTTTTATAACCACCACAGCGCGTAGTTTAAATAATTTTTTTAAGACTTTTCGAAAATACTACTTTTTAGACGGCATTTTGAGAAGTCGAAACTTTCATAAATGCCGACCAGCGACTCAACAGACATTAGCCGAAATTGTTTTTAACCAGCACAGCGCGTAGTTCAAATAATTGTTTTAAGACTTTTCGAAAAGACTACTTTTTAGACGGCATTTTGAGAAGTTGAAACTTTCATAAATGCCGACCAGCGACTCAACAGACATTAGCCGAAATTTTTTATAACCACCACGGCGCGTAGTTTAAATAGTTTTTTACGACTTTTTGAAAAGACTACTTTTTAGTCGGCATTTCGGGAAATTGAAACTCTCATAAATTCCAACGAACGACTCAACAGACATTAGTCGAAATTTTTCATGATAATAACATACTAACAGAGAAATTAAACAGGAGAGAAATAAAAAGTATTTAGGAAGCTTCCGAACAATGTCGTTTTTATAATCGCGTACATTTGTTTGTATTTAAATATATACGACACTTCCAAAAATGCCGAAAAGATTGGGGGGGTGAGATATCCTCCCACCCTCGCTACGCTACTGATTTTAGTCTACTATATATGACTAGAGATTATTTTCTTCTATATTTCAAGAGAAAATAAAAAATACGCCTAAAAAATGTCAACAGCAGTATTAAAGTTAGTTTCTATTACTTTTCTTAATCACGTCTATACGGTCAGGCTGGATTTTTTCGCGAAATCATTTCTTTGAACTTTCACACCCTTCAATTCGAAAACTATTGATGTCAGGGCACTATTCTCATGAAGACGTTTGATCAAATAAGTATTTTTCAAACGCGAACTATTTTCATCAATATTTTTTGAACTGTACTTGGAAACTATTGATATTCTAACCTTCATACATCATACTATAATACCATTCAGTTTGACAGGAATATACCTTCCATCAGAACTGTAAAGATTAGATGCCATCAAAAAATGTGTAAAAAATGTGTCTGAAAATCGACAAACATCCAGTAGATGGGTCATGTCATCATTATAGAAGTAAGTTTCTAATCAATGGCCAAAGTAATCAGAAAATCCTGCTGGTGTCTGCAGTACACTTATATCTTTTCCTAACTCATCAAGCTTGAACACCCTGTAACTGTAAAGCTGTCGATACTAAGATCACAGTGCAATAGAAAGGAGATATACTAAATTTTCAGCCAATTCGACCAGAAATTTGCGATCACCTTTTCAGCTACTTCAAAAATTTCCAAAATTTTCATATCTCTCAGATACGAGTGCTAGTTAGTAGAACTGGGCAAATCTTCATTTTGGTAGATTTATTCATATTCTCGATATTCTAAAGTCATCAAATAAGTTGTATACTAACTTCTTTTGTTCAGCCTCTCATGCGCTATTCGATCTTCCAGATCGTGATTTTCTTCCTTTACGATCGACAACCTCTTTGGATCGGACCATGCTGGGTTCTGGTCTTCGGTCACCGAACTCGCTGAACTGTTGTAACCGCTGGATTCGCCAGGGAACAGTTCTGAAGCTGCCGACTTGCGAACTAGTAGGTCCAGTTGACGGGATGTTTTCATCAAGTTCACGGCCTAAAAAAAATAATTATGTCAGTTCATCTATAAAAAGTACATTTTCAAAAAATACAAAAAACTGAATTTGAAACGGAACAGAATAAGCACTTATTTGTGCTATCCAGACGAATATAAGGACATTTCAAATGTCAAAATCCATAAAGCCGTTTGGGTTGTAGCTCGCGAAATAGAAATCTCATCCCGTCGTTCTGATTTTCTATAATTTTGATATCGTCAGTGTCACTCGCGCTGCGATTCCAACAACACCTCATATGTCAAAATTCATCAAGACGACCATAACATGGAATTTTTTGTCCGCATACATACAAACCTGAGCGCGAAAAACATAACCCTCCTTCTGAGACAGTCGGATAGAAAGTCAACCAATTTTTCTTTTTAATATTTTTTACTAAAACAGTATTTTATAAATCTTAACTCTGCGCGTTATCATTTTTCGTGATGATGAATGATCCATAAAGATAGAGTCGAGTAGCTTAACTCAGAACTTCCCGCACATCAATGAACTCCTAAAATCATGCAATCATGCATACCCTCAAGTCTTCTTACTCAAAAGTGAGGCGTCCAGAAATGTTTCGGAACGACCAATTTTCAAAGTTTGCGTCACAACTTCCTCAAAGCCCGAGCAGTTCTTTGCGATCCAAGGATCCGGAGCAGATGTCAGACAGACATTTAAAAGCAGCATTATTTCGATTTTGAAAATTATCTCATTTATAAAACTTCGCCAATCGATGTGAGAAATCGAAAATTCCGAATTTTCTCAATCGTTTATTCAAACTTTTTCTACAAAACTCAAGACAGTTACCTCGTTGAACGGTACATCTGAGAAGTCGACTCCATTACATTGCACAATCTGGTCCCCAGGCCTCAGTCCTGCTTCCCTAGCTATCCCTCCTTCTTTGGTGAACTGGATGAAGATTCCTGGTTTCCAGTCTGGACCTTTACATATTCTGCAATAGGTTAATAATTATAACAGTTTCCCAAAAACCCAAACTTCAAATATATTCAGATAAAGTCATTATTTCTTTTTTCGACCTTCCACTTATTACTTTGGTTGACAGATTGATTCAAAATGATTTGATGTCTATCGTAGTTCATTATAAGGTCATATTCCAGTACTCTGCATGTTCATCTCCTCGATGTCTTTCACAAGCCAGACAATATGCAATGATTTTAGAAATGAAAAAACATCTTTACAAATCAGAGAACCAGATAGTTATACAGGGTGTGGCGGCATAACTTCCTTTCCTAAAATGCGCTTAATTCAATCGGTTAAGGCGGCTCCGACGCAGTGAGTTTCAAGCCATTTACAAGGGTTCAGCTGCTTCAAAACTGACATTCCATTTTTCAATATTTTTCAATGAAATTCATGCAGTATGTTGAGAAGATAATTGCACAGGGTGCTATAGGAGCTCTTTTTGAAATTTTTTTTTGCACAAGTTTTATAATGGGTTGAAGTGTGCACTTTTTCTGTTAAACTTCGCGATTTTTTTAAAAAGAACCTAGTGAAAAAAATGAAAAAGTGGCTCTATAGCACCCTGTGGGGTTTTGTTTTCAGCACACTGTGAAAATTTCATCCAAAGAAAATAAAGCGTCAATTCCGAAGCGCGCAAACCTCTACAAATCGTATTTTGGACTAATTTTGTCTACTGTTTCGTGCTGCCAACACGAGCGGTGCGGCGCAATGTACGGACTAAGAAAGGACGTATTCAGATAATTTGGTGGCCCTATTTCATATAATATCTCGTAGATAACTCATTCTGCAAATAGGTACTCACAATTGCAATCGCTGATACTGCTCGATTTTAAAGCCGTTTTACTTCCCACGCCATTGGTGAGGAAGTATTGTAATCGCGAAAAATTACTAAAATGAGATTTTATGTTTTTTTAAGCCATATGGCATCTACATCACGAAAAAATGTATCACTCATCATCAACTGAAATTACCGCTCGGATTTTTATGAAATTTCCACACTGCCAAAGCTTTCTAGTTCTACTCCACTGGCAACGGTGCTATAGGCAAAAAAGAAAAAGTAACAATTGCTGAAACTCCATTTTTGACGTTTCAGAGGTTCCTAATCATTGACAAAAAAAAATTGTACTGCTTAAAAAGGGGGGGGTTGAAATCAGTGAAACACGTTCTATTATTAAGAAGCTTTTGATCCCAGTGATTACACAAAATTTAAGTAACGAAAATCCGACGAATAATGTGCTCACGATTGGAAAAAAATCGGTATCCGCTCTATAGGTTTGACACCAAGAGCCAACAGATCTGCAACTACCGACAGCAGGGAAGAATAAATTCGGATACCACTCCAGTCAAGTATAGGGGAATTTAGCGTGGAACTTTAAAATTATCGATATGTCAAGGAAATATGTTCTTGAGAATGATAATTTGGTAGATTTTATACCTGCATTGTCATTTGAATTTCATGACCCGTGAAATGTACCCATTTCGCCGTTACCTTCAATTTGTGTTCTGCAGTTTGTGATGCTTTTCTGGATATAAGCAGGACATAATTGCCTAGGGTGCTAACAGAGCTTTTTGTATTTGCGCAAGAATTATGGTGGGTTGAAATGCTTACTATTTGTGCCCAACTTCTTGATATTTTAAAAAGATCCTAGTGGATAAAATCTAAAAAGTGAATCGCTGGCACCCTGTGGACTTTGTCGTTGGCACGCTGCAAGAGTTTCATTTGGAAATAATAAAAATCAAGCGTAAGCTGTAAAGTGCAAATCGGTTTTTGAGCGAAATTCATCTACTGTTTCAACCTGCCAGCCCAAGCGTCGTGACGGTACGTTCCGACTAAGAAAAAATGTATTCAAATAATGTTATATCTTTCCTAAAATAAATTCAAGAATTCAAATTCAAATTCGTTTATTCATGTCAATAAACAAAATTATGTTTACAATTGTCATGTGGTAGATAGTAACAATTGAACGAGGGTCATAAAAATATCTTATGCAGTCAAAACAAGAGGAAACAGTTTTTGCAAAGCAATAAATAGATATGCTTATACCTGGATTAAGTACATGTCTTGTCTACTGTAATAGGTAGATAGAGGTGATGCTGCCAGAAATAGAGATGTGTGCGATCAATAAACAAACCACAAGATTGAACTGCCGTGTCCAATGATTTTTGTATTGCCTTTTTTTATTGCCTTACTAGAAAACTCTGTTGGGTATATGATGAAGTTTACTAGAACTTTACAGCTTGTTGACTGCCTTCTTATACAAACTTCACCACATCGAGACGCTATCAACCTTATCCTCCGTTGAAGACGCCACAAAGTACAGTCCTGCGATTTGGTGACTTGTTCGATCTGCAAAATCTCGTCGTCACTTTTTTTAAGTTTCCCTAAAAATTTTCGCTTAGCAACCTCCAAATCAATGTAGTTAATGTCAGGTTTTTGACTGAATTCGCCATAAAACTATTCATTTTCTTTGGAATTGCTATCCGAATTGTTAGTTATTTTTATATCAGCTTTTTTTGGTCTGAGTTTCTTTTCAAGATTGTTGCGTTTGAGTCTTTGTTCCATCTTAGTGATAAGCGAGGTTGGACTAAGCTTAGCACGCAAATGTATTTGGACCACATAGACAGGCCGCTCGGTATTGTGGCTCACTACAGCTGCAGCACATTTTCCATGGTATGACCTCTTCTTGCAATAATTTATTCGCTTACCCCAATGTATTTTGCGATTATAGATTTGAACTGCTCCACATTATTGTTGTCCTCATCATGAATTAAACTCACTGCATTCGTAATTAAAATTGTCGCATATGACCTTTTATTGTCCATTATCAACCTTGATAAAAAAGGCACTCAAGAACAATCACACCTACAAGAGTACAGCACAACAATTCAACAACACAATATCGACGAACAGTAACCAGGGTAGAACAATACTAAATGATCACTTGCTGAGTACCAAAATAGCAAACCATTAACAGGCTAGATCGCTAATGGAAATCCGACTCTGTTATTATATAAATTTACCTCGGTACGCACCCGCAGTCATCCTTTCCTCTTTTAAAGTAGCGCCGACAACCATCTAATACCTGCCCACCCTCGTTTCTTTTTCACCCCCCCGTTACCTCAGCAGATGGTACTCGAGATTGTTGGAGCCCCGTTAATGTCGTAGCGGAGAGCTAGTGGTCTCTTTCGAGAGGCGGGACAATAAAATTTTGTCCCGACACAGTTCAGTCGCCATCATACGTTGAAACAGTGAGTAGCGTGCTTCTGTTGTTGAGGTCTACTTTTCGAGTCGATGTTCTGTGGTCGCGACCCAGCGCGCCTTTCGAAATCGCTTTAATTTAGCCCCGTGGGCACCAACCTCTCCCGGACGGGAAAGCAGTTGTTAAGTATAACACTAAGTTCAGCAGACAAACTGCAACTGCGACAAGACGAAGGTCTGGAGTCGCTGGGTCCATTAGATCATCGGAAAAGGTTGACGCAGAGCGAGTTCAATGTCACGATCACCATGGCGTTCTACACGCAAGCATGTGTCTGCCCTTGGACTTCTGGATGGTTCTGTGAGGAGATTTCTTCATGATGATCATCATTTCCAACCTTATAAGATAGCAATTGTGCAGAAGCTTTATGAACGTGACTTCAATTCTCGAATTAACACGTCTGAGCTCCTAAGGACGCTATTGATTTTTTTTTAGTGATGAAGCTCACTTCCATTTGTGTGGATTCGTCGACAAACATGCGCTACTAGGCTGACGACAATTTTTGAGTATTGCGTCAAAGGCCTTCGCATTCACGTGAAGTCACAGTGAAGTGGGCAATTTCCTCAGCTGGAATTATGGGACCCTGGTTGCTTGAGGAAAAGGAAGTCTGAGTAACAATGGATTTACGATTTACGACGATAGTACGTCCATCTCTCTTGTACGCTGGTCTGGTAGCCTTGAATTAGAACTGAGATAACTAAGGCCAAACTCAATAAAATTCAGCGTTTGGTCTGTACTAGTATTACAATCGCAGTGCGAACAACGCCATTGAGTGTAATGGAAGCGCTGTTGGATCTCGCATCGTTGGATCTGGCGATCTGCGGTGAAGCGAGAGTAGTCGCTCATCGACTGTGGAGTCAGGGCAGCTGGGCTTTCTTGAATCCTGTCAAGGGGCATACTGCCATCTTAGTCGAATTGCAAAGGGAGGACCCCGTCCTTCTAAGCAGGGGTGATCGTATTACCCCTAAATATCGCTTCAACCGCAAATTTATTGTGGAGTATCCAACGAGGGAGGAGTGGGACGCCGGTAGCCGGGGACTCTCCGGAGTGAGCGGGCAGGTCTGGCACATGGACGGCTCCGTCACCGAAGAGTACTCAGGTGCTGGGGTATCTGGGCCTAAAAGTGTGTGGTGTATCTCGGTGGATACACCACTATTTTCCAGGTGGAAATCTTTGCGATTCTGGCATGTGTATCTCATATTCTGGAGGAGGGTGGACCCAGGAGAAGAATAACAATCTTATCCGGCAGCCAGGCTGCAATGAAAGCACTAAGTGCCTGTAAGATTACTTCGAGTCTTGTACCGGGGTACGCTGGGATAAGGGACAATGAGACGGCGGACACTCTGGCGAAGACAGGATCAGCGAGCAAGCTCGTTGGTCCTGAGCCAGCTCTAGGAGTGACCGCGCATAGAGCTAGGAGGAAAGTGGAGACGTGGGTTGCAAGACAATACTCTCAGAAATGGAGAAATATCTCTAGACATCTCCGCCAGGCACGGAAACTCATTGAAGGGCCCAGTTCTAAGGATGGACGTTTCTGCCTATCTCTGGATATAGTCAACCTAAGGTTGCTGGTGGGACTGTTGTCTGACCATAACACGTTAAGGCGCCACCTGCACGTGTTGGGGGTGGCTGAGGATCCCTCGTGTGAACGCTGCGGGGTAGAGGAAGAGACCTTGGCGCACAATTGTGCCGCTGTGATGCTCTGTATTATAGGCAGACTATACTGGGGTGAATTACTTTGGACCCTCAGGACGTCAAGGAACTTCGACTCAAGGCGATTCTCAACTTCGCTAAAAGGGCGAGGCTTGTGATCTAAGGAATGTAGAGGTGCATAAGGGCCCGCTTAAGCGGTCTATGCACTGGCTCCTTATGGTGGTCGGAATGCCTCTAATTTCAAGATTCATTCATTCAACAAGGGATTTGGAACGGTATGTAGATAGGGTACTATAAAAGTTTTGCAACAAGACTTAACAAACGGACGCAGGAGGCTGCATGTTACTTCATGTTGAGACATGAGTGCATAGTAGCCGCCTGTTGACTTAGTTATTCATTCGTATTGACAGTGTAAGGTGCGGACTATTACATCGTGGTCACGTAGTGAGATAAGGGCAGTTTTACGGTATAACTTGACTCTTGCGTTAAAGAATGATTGTTCTCATCAAACGACTATATTCAGTTGGTAGAGAGAATTGCTTACTCTGAAGGACGCTCAGAGGGAAGCAAGGCCCCGAACGTCAGTAACAGATGAAAACATTACTGCTGTAAGCAAAATGCTTGACGAAGACCGGAGAGTGACATACCAACAAATACACCTTCATGCACCAGCAACTCATTCAATTCCGCATGACCTTTTACAAGTGAGGAAACTTTGTTCTCTCTGGGTACCACATAATCTTACGGAAGAGCAGAAGACTCGTAGTACTTCTTGTTGCCGAAAGATGCTGAACATTTTTGATAAGAGGCAATCTCGATATGTGAACAGCATCGTGACAGGTGACGACACTTGGCTCTATTATTACGATGTGTCGGCCAAAGTTTGGGTCTTTGATGATGTGGACACACCGGCATCTGGCCAAAGTTAAAAATGGTACACTTGTTACTTCCACCATGACAGCTCACCGCGCAAAAGCCTGCACCGACTATTTGACCACTACTGGACTGACACTTATTGAGCACCCTCCTTAAAGTGCAGATCTTGCTCCCTGCGCTGTTTCCGCGTGTGGAAATGAAGCTAAAAGGAAAACGGTTTTATAGCGATGAGGACCTTCTGAGGGTTTCTGACAACGAGTGGGTGACACTTGGCAGAGCTGAACTTTTATAGTACCCTTTTATGTTACTTTTCTCCACGCCGGGATGAGTTGACTTAGGAAACATCTGGTTCCAAGAAAACGATGGAACGGCACATACTTCAAAAGGATCGATGGTTCTTTTAAACACTTCCCAGAGCGCCTCATCTCAATTAGGGGCGATTTGGAGTGGCCGGTACGGTCTTTGGCCTCTGTGACTTTTTTCTGTCAGGATTTTCGAAATCCCGTGTTTATGTGAACCGTCCAAGGACAAGATTTGAAGACCAACATAGAGGAATAAATTGCCAACATAACGCCTGTTATGCTGACAAGAGTCATGCCAAGCGCCAGAATTCTGATTACGCAGTGAATAAAGATTGTGGGTCGTCATCTAATTTAATCTTCAAAACTATGTAAAACAAAACTTTAGGCACGCGCCCATATTATAAAAATCAAATAAAAAATGTTCTGATTCATACAATGGGATTTATGTTGTTTTGAAAAAAGAGTGTTATGCTGCCGCACCCTGTAAAAAGCTTGCATAGTATTTGTTACTATTGTAATGAGAAGAATATATCTTTTAGTCTTATATTGTAAGTGGTGTCCTTTCTTACCCACATCCTAATTTTGATCTTGGTGCCACAAAAATGTTGATCCGTACATCCCTCGTTTTCTCACCAAACTGTGGTGACGATCTAGATGATGAGGTACTTGGTGAAATTATCTGCCAACTCAGAGAATCATTCTTCTGCCTAAGAGATCATACAATTATGTAGATTGAGATTTTGGTCATAGCAGTTCTAACTTATAGGATTTAGATATTTGATACTAGTAATGAAGGACCGATATACCTCGCTCCATGATTTAACTAATTTAGAAAGTGTTGGATTTTGTCAAAAAAAAATTACAAGCCCAAATCTTATCGCGTTGGAAGATGAAAGCAAATACCAAGTATGCAGAATTCATGAATATATTAAGTGATATAATTAACGCCCCGCTACTCTAAAAGTATCTATGAGTCTACTTTTCCATGCACTGAGACACCTTGGTCACACTCCAGCTGGTCCAGCTCTTAGATAAATTAATACAGTCTGGAGTCTTTAAAAAATCAGATTCATTATGTGTATAGTATATTGACTAGATTCAAAATCCATTATATTAGTACCTACAAGATTGATATTCTTCGTCTAGTTTTCAGAACAAATGTAAATGTGTCGGAATATACGTAATTATATCTACATATGCGTAACGCATTCCAAACCATACTTTTGCAATATCATTCACATTTGAATGCCTTCTCACAATATTGTGCGGTTTGATTACTAAACAATCTTACCTAGACTTCATAACAAAAAAAAAACAATTCATGCAATTCATTTATAAAAAATGACCAAAATATAAAAAGAGGACATCCTCAACGAAATCGAAAGCACGGTTTTGCGCAAAGTATAAAGAATATGAAAAGTAGAGTCACTGGCATTTAGTCTCCTTAAGCGGAGAACTAACTTTCTCGGAAATTATGTTTTTCTCAGAGACGTAGCGAGACCATTTTTAGAGAGGGTAGGAAATAAGGTGAAATTTTACGTTTTTCAAGATTCTACCAACTTTCGCCTCTCCTAACTTTTTTTATTCTGGTGTGAATTAAAAAATTAAAAAGCGGAAGGTTGCGCTTCTGTGTTTAGAGGAGCGATTGAAAATTGAAAATTGAGGGATGCTTGTGTGTTGCGTCTCCATGATCCCACCAAAATGCAGCAATATGTGCCATTTAATTGGAAAAGAAAATCCTGGGGCGTCCAGTAATGGCAAAAATGAACGATTTAAATTAAAATTGTAAATGTGCACTGATACTTTGAAGTGTCGTATTTCAGTACAAAATAGTCGTATCTAGGTTTTAGGACAACTACCGTGAAGATCTATCTAGCTTTTGGATCTCTAAGTCAAAAAATACTCGTATTTGGCTCTGCAGGTGCTGTACAGTTCTAGGAAATAATGTGGAGAAAAAATTGCAAATTTTTTGATTCCTTTACTTAGATCCATGGACTTTTATTTTATTTCTTCATCTATTTATTCAGCTTCAATTTTCTTTTTTCAAAACCCCGGTACAACCATTTCTTGCTAAGATATCGACAAAGTGCCCTTTTGGCTTTGATCATTGATATCTCAGGAACCGTTGATCCTTCAGAAAATCTAAGTATGTTTTCGAAAGCTGTGATTAATTCTCTAAGGGATCTAAGGACTTATGAAAAATAGTTTTTCCATCCTTCATGAGGTCGGGAGAAAAACAGGGAAAAAGGGGTGATTTTGGTTGTTTTTTCGATCAAATGCAGGATTTCAAATATAGACAAAAATATAGGAGGGTGACTTTCACAACTCCATATATCCACAATATCCCTATAAAAAATCACTTTAATATATCCATACGATCTTTTGTTTTGAACAATCAAAGTCGAAAAATAGTATCTCCATAAATTTGAACGCTTTTTGTAAGCAAAATGTGAAAAAACCTCATAAAAGGTTATTTTCAATTTTAAAGCCTTAGCAGCAATAAACCTGATCATCTTTTCAAAACTTTGATTGTTCATAACAAATAACGTCAATAGATCAAAGAAAATTTCACATTGTAAATTTTATATGGTGGATATATGGAGCTATAAACGCCACGTTCAGCATTAGCCATTTTGTTCATATTTGCAACTTTTTCCAGAAATCCATGAATCACACTTCTCACTTAATTTTTTTCATACATGACAATTAATCCTTTTAGGGAAACCATTTTAGCTTTTTAATCAGCCAATGATTTTCTGTATGATGCTTGGTTCCTGAGATATCTGTCAATGTCAAAAGGACCCTTTTTGATTGAAAATTTTGTATCTCAGCAAGAAATGGCCGCATCAAGGTTTTAAAAAAGCAAAATTTAGTTGAATAGTCAGACTATTGACTTGCAATGGTTTAGTGGAAGAAAATTCCGGAACCGTAGATCCAAATAAACATAAAATCATTTGCAATGCTTTTCTTCACACCGTTTCCTAGGATCGCGTAGATCCTGCATTTGTTGACTAAGAAATACAAAACAAAAAACAAAACGGTGTAGGCTTCAAAGTGCTTCTCTAGAACCTCAATACTATAATTGTTTATCCAGCACAACTCACTGAAACTGTGATCCCTGATTTTTTTCCATAAGTGTGTTATATCACTCTCCAACTTACCATTGGATCGCCCAAGTTTTGCCAACTCTTAAGATCTTGGGGGTATGGAGAGGAGTGGGGTGGAAGGAGCTTGCAAGGATTGAGTCACAGCCTCCTACAACTACAAGCCATGAAGTGAGAAAGGCGCAATACGTGGGCAAAGTAGTCCTATTGTCAAATAGCCGGCCACCGACCCGCAGGGGTATTACGTAAGTTTAAAAGTGACATTATTATATATTATATTTTTTAGATATTACGTAGGTTTTTTATCACATCATGTAGATTTTCCAAAAAGACTTCAACTGGGAACTAGCTGTCGTTCACTTCATGCTCACTTGTACCAAGCGCGGAATAAACTACATATTTGCACACTAGCCTACTTAGTCAACAAGTTGACATTTTATCGTTTTTTTTTGACATTATATAGGCTTTTTACGTAATAACCCTGCCGGTAAACTTCTAGGAAAAATATTAAGTAAGTACTGATTAAAGTCGGAAAAATCTTAAAATAGGTATTTCTGGCTGAACATAGAAGCATCTATGAAAAACTCATTATCTTGAAGTCGAGTTGGTTAAATCATAAATCTATAAGTAACGATTGACTAATGAAAACAATATTGATCCTAGAGAATATGATATTTTATTTAATACCATTAGCAGTAACTGACATATTACAAGCTGCAGAATTGTTTTTGTTTTCTCGTCAGTTAAATTATGTATGATACTATTAATTATGCCACAGGCTTTCTGTATCATGAGTATTGTTGTTACAAGGTATTTCAAATTCGTCCCTCACCATTGGGAAAAGATAAGAGATACGAAGTTGCTCAAATGAGGGCAAAGTTGCGTATGAATATAACCAGCAAAACGCCACTTCAAAGTACTTCCGAAGAGAGACGGAAAAATCGGAACTTTCTGGCCTTAACTGTAGTGGAATTTCAAAATATGTTTCGACAGTACTTTGTAACCTACGTTATTCAAATACTCCACACCTCATGGAGACTTCACTTTGAATGATGACAATTGTTTTTTATTTCCAAAAAACATCGATACAGAGCACAACCAACACCTTTTACCACTTAAAAACAAGTGAGTCACAAGTAAAATTCAATGAGGGTGGTGGGGTCCAGGGTCGTACAGGTAGGTAGGACTACCACAACGTTTCCGAATTTCCTACTTCGTGACTTGTTAGGTATGGATGACTATGATTGAGCTGAACACTTGGCAACCTCAAAAATGATAATATTCAACAGCGTATTCAAGCACTGAAAATGAGTTTCTGAATTTCTTTTACTATTGAGAAAGAAAAAATGGCATAGTGACGCTACTATTCATAATCTGTTTACTTTGGTTATGTGATACCAATTATGAAATCCGCGTTCAGTGAATTTAAATAACAATAAAAAGAATGCATATACTCACTCTTTAACTGGGATCATTCCCACGCCTGCAAAATAAAACAAAATAAAGAAGAATTAGAACTTGTTGATTACCATAGCGTCGGCTAATGATTAGACTTGTGAAACGGTGTAATTATTTTATATAAAAGGAAAAGCGTGCGCGTTTCATCAAGTTTCTGTTTCGGTTGATAACAAAACGGAGGTTGAGGGGGTTTTTGTTATAGTCGTAGTCAATGAAGCATAGAGAAAACGGGGTAGACTGAATGGTAAATCTGGGAAACGTTAAAGAAGTTAAAGTTTACTAAAAGGTTTCTGCCATAATAGTGTGGTGCTTAAGACTCGAAAACAGACCTAATACTGACATTTTTTTTTCAGAATCAGACTTAGCATGAAACGAGTACTCATCACTACCTTTCATTTAAGAAGTAGTAAAGTAGTCACTAATACCTCAATTTTAGAAGGTGGTGCCAAAAGGCTCCACTTGGGGATCCTGGCTACGGATTTTTTCTATTGTTACTGTTTTCAAAATGATTCGACCAGTATTTTAAAAGTTTTCGGGATTCAGTTCATCAACAAGTACTACCCGTGTGTTTCCCATATTTAAGTAGATAGCTGCCAAAATCCATAAAAATATGTTGTCCAACAGGAAACCTTAAGCTATACTGTATTGTATTTTTCAGATCAGCCTCTCACGATTCATTACTTTATGCCGAAGATTACTATTTTCGGTACCTAAACAATCTAAACATATATTACACCTAACGAAGATGAACTCCAGTGCCACCACATAAACACGCCATCTCATCGTGCCCAAATATGGACGCAAATCAGCTTCCACCTCCAATTACTCTCGTCACCAGAAGAGTTCGGCTGGGCACGATGCGCCACAGTCTGGGAGGAAGTATGTACATTTAAACCAAGAATGTCGCAATCTATCACAACCCTCAGCTCAGCTGCAAATGCAAACCCAACTAACAATTATCACTCCTATTAGAGCTGCAAGAATGATTATACAGTATTCCTTAAACAGCATTGTATACTGTAAGAACATTGGCAAAACCCTCTTAGAACTGCTATACAAGCGGAATGGGCACACCTAATAGGACACTTCAGTCATTTGAGAGGTTGTATAAGGCCTGCAGGTAACAGTCATACAACAAAAGTGCAAGCCTCTTGCAGCCGCTATAGGACATTTGCGTCAGTGCAAGATTCAGTTTTTGTCAACTATACAACTATTCTGTTACGTGATTCTACTTTATTGCAACCAAACTATTTCTTATGTATTGTATAGACGAAGAAGAATATATAACTAACACATTACAGTCATCTTGTTTACTTACATATCGGCCATTGTGAATTTCATACACAGGTATATGATAAACTTCTACACTGTGATATAGGGTTATTGAATTACTTGCGCAGCAAATTTTATTGTGATTATCATGCAAATTAGTTACGCAATTTCTACGGGCTTCGTATTTGATTCATATTTTGATAATGATCAAAAGTATGTCTAGATTTTTAAGATGGAAAACTGAACTTATCTGCGTTAAATCTTCCACAAATCCTATATTTAGACGCAATTACACTCATGTTTATCACTTTATATCTGTAATTTCGAACTGAAACATAATTATTTAATATTAAATAGAGGAATAAATGTTTGCCCAATATGGCGGGTGGTTGTGTATAATCATGGCATCGTCCATGTTGTCTTTAGGTTACTAGAATATTTTGGTGTTGCCTGCAGGTGTTATACAACAATTTGACAAATGCCTGAAATGAAATACCGACAGAGTCGAATGATTTACCCAGAATTTGTACCAGATCTATAACTTCTGTTTGAACAGTTGATAAAACATTTTGAACCAATATGCATGCGTTGTTTGTCTTAAAACATTGGTTATGGCATTTTAACAAAAATATGACAGCAGAAAGTTAGGTTATGGTGAAGTTATATACCAACATATTTAGCATATGTACGGCCTTTAACAGTTGTATAAGTGCTTCCGTTGGGAGCAATTTGTTGGCTAAAGTAGTAAATTGCACAGCAAAACAACAAGGCTCGGGTTTGTTTTATAAACGTTACTATGGATGCCACAACACAACCATTTTGACTAACGTGCAAATATGCCGTATAAAATAGTTCTATAAACGTTTATGCAACAGTTAAAAAATTGCCCTATAAGGTGTTGTATAACTATGCTATAAGAATATTTTAAACACCTCACTTTAGAGCAGATATGTTGCAGAAAGCAAATTTGCATTCCACACAACATTAAGCCAGCATTTTGGTGTACAGGCAACAACAATAGAGAGCTTTTATGGCTGAACGGTTCTTTTACCAAAAGCTTATAACACTACTTTGCTAGTGTCGGTGGTTCAAATCTTGGTCAATATAATTTGGCTCTACGAGATATACAACCGCCGCAGCTATGAACCTCAAGTGGTGCCACTTGGGCACTAGTTTTCATAACACACACAATGTTTGGTCCATTACAAAAAGCGCTGTTTTCTTCGTATTTTCAGGTTTTCTAGAAAATGCCCTTGAGAATATCTACTGCAAAATCACTACTCGAATCACTTTGATTGCAGCAGAATAAAGACGTTGGCAAATTTAGGTATGTACCCTCCCCTCAAGCAGTGCTACTTACGTACCTTTTTTCGAAGGTAAGGTACTGATTGTCGTTTATCCTATACCGAGTTTCTTCTCGTTACAGCGAAGCGAAACGGGTGTAATACAAGCGTTGATGACTGACGCTGTTTCCTTCGCATTTTCAGTTTTTCTAGAAAATGCCTTGAAAACGTGTGTCTTATTTAAACACACATCTAGTACTTTTAATATACTGAATCCAAAATAATACTAAAATACCGCAAAATCACTGCTCGAATCACTTTGGATACAGCACAATTAGAGAAAATCGCTTTGACTTGAGATATGCAAACCCCGCGGGCACTACTTTCCAAAAGTGAGATATTAGTCATATCTCTATAATAAGTTTAATACACATGAAACAATGTGGAATGTCCCGCATGATGTAGAGAACGCAGTTCGGCAAATTCTGATTCAACACGTGAATAGTATTGGCAATAAGATGCAGCCATAAATGTGATAGAAATACTGACCGTATACGTCAAAATGTAGAAATCACAAATTTGCGCTTTCGGAATATACAACATCCTGTGTATCGGTCTCTCCTCCAGTGCCGCTTCGGCACCATTTCTTGTATAAAAGGTATTGATGAGTACTAACTCCCATATCAAGCCTCATTCCGGTAAAAAATGTCAATGTCGGACCCCTTATAAGTGATTATAGACCATAAAATCAAACTTTAAAAGTATTAAGTTCTTTGAAAGAGCTTTTGTACTTATATCCTTTAAAATATGATTGACATATCGTGGTATATGAGCTAACTCTTTTTCTTGAGGCTTGAGCCATTATACATTATAAAGACTCCACGGTTTTGGCAAGAAGGTAGCACATTCACCAAAAAGTGAAGTCATCTCTCCTGATCCATCATTGAAATTTCTTAGCCCTTAGATGAGAAGGTACACAAAATGTCTTATAATAACTCAATTTTGATGTTTTTTGCGATTACAATAGTGTTCTCGCCTTTTGTCTTAGAAATTAAAATAGATATGTACAAGGTGTCCCACAACAGATTCAGGACTTTAAAAAATACTGCACATGTTCGGGAAAATATTTCTATTGAAAACAAAGAACCAGATGTGCGGATTTCATTTTTTACATTTCATATATCATCATCATCATGTGACCTATATGAAATCTGTTTGTTCAAGTTTACATAACGCACATACTGAGGATCACTTTGCCTATTTCACGACGTAGATTTTTTGATTGATGATTATATTTGAATCAGCTATATTCTTTAGAGTGTTGACGCGAACTTTGCTCTTGAAGTACCTCCACGGAGGCCCATCGTCATGGAAAATGCAATATCACCAAAGCGATGGCAACTTTTATGGAACAGCAGAGGAAATCATTCTAAGAGCAAAGTTTAAGTTGATACGTTGAATATCTCTGACTTGGGGGACATCTAGATGGATTAATCTTTAAATAATTAAATCCTCACCTCTGTGGGAGTTTTTTTAGCTATATTTTTCCTCTCCGCAATAACAAGAAAATGTTTTGAAAAGTTTAGTGTCATATAGGGCGCGCTGTAACTATATTAGCATATATGAGCATATATGTGCATATTATGGTTGGCTACAGCGCCATCTATGAGAGACTAACAGTTTCAAAGTGGATTTCTAATTGTCGCGAAGAGGAGAAACATAGCTCTAACAATATGCTTATAGATGACGACAGGACATCTCATTTCATTACGGATATTTTTTTTTTGAGGTGAAATACAGTGCTATATAATTGGTTAACTTCAGGAAGAATACGTTAATCACTGCTTTAATTCAATTTGGAAGTCTTAAATATCCATTGAGACACCATGTAGTATTAAATAGGCTCATTCTGTAGGTATATACGTTCAATACAAAATTTCAGAACTAAATAGTTAAAGGGTTTTATCGGACATTAAAGATATTGCTCCTTCAACAACTTGACGATCTGGCAATCGCATTTTGAACTAATATTACTAACAAAGAGAACTGAGTGAACTCGTTTGATGCCATTTTTGATTTGCTTTTAAGCGACCACCTTGTATCTTGGACGCTTATTAGCAACAACTACGAAATCAATCACGGCATTCAACCATTAGGTACTACGACTATATTGTACGCAGATATGTACCGTTTTTTATAATGACCATAGCCATTCCGATCGAGATAGTACCGTTAGTCATGAGTTTCAGGAAGCAGTCTACAGCCCACAAACCGTAAAGATTTATTTATTTATCCATCGATTTCTGTCTGGTGAACGACAAAGGTCAAATATCTGTCTTTCCTATTAGGCTATCCATACACCGCAAGGATATACCTGACAGGTTTGCATATACCGTTACATCCTTCAGGTACACTTTGATCCTATGCCAACTTTCAGCTAAGGCTATTTTGTATGATGAGACAGAATCGC